TGCATACATCAAAGTAATTTACTAAACACTTCAGTATATATCCTAATAATGATACTCTTATTAGGATATGTGTGGGTGTGTGTGTGTGTGTGTGTGTGTGTGTGTGTGTAGGATTAGTGTGTGTGTGTGTGTGTGTGTGTGTATGTATGTATATCTATCTATCTATCTCCATGACAAATGCACCAAGAAAACCATAAGTACACCCATACTTAGGTTGAAACTTGATGTATAAAAGAGATTCCATTATGAATCACTGGAGAATGAAGATTATTCAAAATGGGGTGCTAAAACATCAAAGATTTTAGGGGAAAAAAAACAGATGAATATCTTTATGATCTATCAGGAAGGATAAAACCCCTTAAATAGGACACTGAAAAAATTAATCACAAAGAGAAGATTGATTTATTCAACTACATTAATAATATCTATCTACTTAAAACATAATCAGAAGGGGCCGGGATTGTGGCTCAGCAGCAGAGCACTTGCCTAGCACATGTGAGGCACTGGGTTCAATCCTCAGCACCACACATAAATGAATAAATAAATAAAGGTATTGTGTCAAAAAAAAACATAATCAGAGGTGCTGGGTTGTGGCTCAGTAGTAGAGTACTTACTTAGCATATGTAAGACACTGGGTTCAGTTCTCAGCACCACATATAAATAAATGAATAAAATAAAGGTTCATCAACAACTACAAAAAAATTTAATTAATTAATTAATTAAAATAAACCAAAAACAATTTGTTATGACTCCTATGTAAGTATAAGAAGGTAAAAGAAAACTCTAGGGAATGGTAAAAATTCACAATAGAGTTTTCCTCCAAAAGAAGGCCAAAGACAGGAACAGGAAGGATTCCATGATTCATTTTAATAGTTTTGGTATTTTTCTGATTTTTATATTGGGACTTAACCTAGTAAAAGTTCAAAACTTATCCATGTAAGACATATTTAATTTTGTATATACACAAATACACACACACACACACACACACACACACACACACACACCTGAACTTTATTTCTTTTTCCCCTTTTCCTTTGGTGTGAGGACAGATTTATTACTACAATACATTACATACTGCATAACAGCAGGCACAGTCCTGATGGTCTTTGGCAAGAAAACACTCTAATATAATGTATATTTTGGTATGAGTAAAGGACAATGATCAAAATAAAGGTTATAACAATAAAAGAATGTAAAGTTAAAATTTACATGAGAACAACTCTAAAGTTAGAAGCACATGATAATGACTCAACATGAAATTAAAACCTTGGCAAACCTATAAACTTGATCTGAACTATGATTACAATGGGATATTTGCAGATACCATCTTAGTAAATGAAAAGTTAACATTTGTTAATCTAAGTTGTTTGAGAAGTAAACAAACTCTTAAAAAATCGACAAAAAAATTTATCAGAAGAAAGTATGCACTAAAAAGTAAAATGTATAAAATCCATTTTAAATATTATTATTTGTTCCATAAAAATAGAAAGAAAGGGTACATATATAAATGTTAGGAATCTGCCACGTGTAACCAGTAGGAAAACAAAGTTAACAAAAGTTCATTTTCAATGGCACATTGACCACAATTATTTTAAAACTACAGTTAAAAAAAAAAAAACCCTACTGAAATGTAGGCAATACATTTCAATTCACCCTTAGATCCAACACAGTTCATGATGAAAAGAGAAAAAAATTATTACCTGACTTGATTTCAAAAGACAACACCTACTAAACTCACACATTATTGCATTAACAAAACCACATCATTTTAAAGAATTCAGTTTCTTTTTGTTTCGTTTTGTTTTTGCCATTTCATTGGGTTTGGTTTGATAGCATAGACTGAACTCATTGGTGCTTTACCACCGAGCTACATCCCCAGTACTTTTTATTTATTTTTATTTTGAGACAAGATCATGTTAAGTTGATGGAAGTCTCATTAAATTGCTGAGGTACACAGGCCCAGTTTAAAACTTTTTTCCAAGAATAAAAGTTAGAAATACATAATCAGAGATCTACTTTTAATATAAGCCACTGATAAACACTATGTATTTATAACTATGTATTTATAACTTGTATTTATAACTTTCAGTACATTTCTTTCAAGTTGCATATTTTCTGGACCACTCTATACAAACTTCTTTGCATCAATTTTCATATTACCTATTTTTATGGGATTACACGCCATGAGGAATTTTCCACAGAACTTTGACACTATTTATTAACACTGACACCTTTCATGGGTTTTACAATCACAGGATTTTGATCCAGTGTGCATTCACACATTTGGGCTAAATGAAGACTTCTGCACATTTCTTCAAATCACAGATTCTCTCCATACTATGCTCTTTTACATATCTGAATTGAACCAAGATCATCAGAGCTGTTCCCACATGCTTTATACTCATATTAGTTACCTCCACTGTAGATCTCATGAATACTCTGGAAAGGTCTTATGATAATGAAGTTTTCCCATATTCTGTCTTTTGGATTAATTGCCAAGTGTAAGTACTTTCATGTTGGTAAAAGGAAATGAATTGACTGAAAGCTTTCCCATATTGTTTAAACAATGTTTCCAGGTGAACTCTTTCACATCTCTGATGGAAACTGTGTCAATTGAAACATTCTCCACATTGCTTACCAACCTGGGGTTTCTCTCCAGAATGAGTTATTGTATGTAAAGGGAACTAGATGACCTAAAGGCTTTGCCAGGGGCTGGGATTGTGGCTCAGTGGTAGAGCGCTCCCCTAGCACAGGTGGGACCCAGGTTCCATCCTCAGCACCACATAAAAATAAAATGTATTGTGTTGTGTCCATCTACACCAAAAAATAAATATTAAAAAAATAAATAAATAAATAAATAAAGGCTTTACCACAATGGTTATATGTGTAGGTCTTCTTTCCAGTGTTGAGTTTTTTCATGCTTTCTCAAGGAACCAGGATCACAAAAGGTTTTCCCACATTATTTATATACATAAAGATTCTTCACAGTGTGAATTCTTTCTTGAGTTTGATTGTATCCAGAACTATTAAAAGCTTTCCCACATTGTGAACTTACACAATGTTTCTCTTAAATGTGAGTTCTTTCATGTATTTTAAGGGAATTGGAAGAGCACACATCTTTTTCATATTGTTCATATACACAGGGTACCTACACCATGATTCCTTTCATGACACTGAAAGGAACAAAAATGAGTGAAAGCTTTCCCACATTGTTTACATCTATAGTTTCTCTCCACTGTGAGCCTGCTCAGGTGCTTGCAAGTGACTCCAAAAACAACAGGCTTTCCCACATTTCTTACGTACCTAGGATTTCTCTCAGCTGTGAGTTCTTTCATGTATTTGATGAGAACAGAAAGGACTAAAGATTTTCCCACATTGCTTACCTTCATAGGGCTTCTCTCCATTTTGAATTATGTTCATGCCCTCAAAAATGATTTGAAGCTGAGGCTTTCCCACACTGCTTACATACACAGGGTTTCTCTCCATTAAGAATTCATCCATGTGTTTGAAAATGACTTAAAGTGGTTTCTCTCCATTGTGAATTCATTCATGTGTTTGAAAGTGACTTAAAGTAGTTTCTCTCCATTATGAATTCATTCATGTTTGAAAGTGACTTAAAGTAGAGAAGGCTTTCCCACATTGCTTATATCCATAGGGTTTCTCTCTAGTGTGACAGTTTTTCATATATTTAAAGGGGAACAGGAAGAACGGCTTTCTCACATTGCCAATACATAGCGCTTCTCTACACTGAGTTCATTCATGACTTCAAAAGTGATTTGAAGTAGAGAAAGACTTCCCACATTGTTGTGTCCACCGAAAACTAGAAAATAAATATTGAAAAATTCTCTCTCTCTCTCTCTCTCTCTCTCTCTCTCTCTCTCTCTCAAAAAGAAAAGAAAAGAACTGATGCTATTAAAATGTCCTCAACTTCATAATATTTCTCTTAAAGAATAGGGCCTAATTTTACTTTCCCTGAATATGGGCTGGACTTAAAGATTCACTTCTAATGAAAGAATAAAACAGAAGTAGTGGTGTGTAACATCCAAAGTTATACCACTAAAGGTACCAACACTTATATTTTGCATTCTTTGGACTACTCTCCCTGGGGGAATTCAGTCATCATGTCATAAGGAGACTGTGGAGAGGCTACAAGGGGAAGAACTAGAGTCTTCTACCAAAAACCAACACCAGCCAGCCAAGCATGTAAGTGAGGCCCCTAAGAAACAAATCCTCCTGCCCAAAACAAGCCTCATATGACTACATCCCTTGGCAAGATACCAAAGAGCTAAGCCATTTCCAAAGAAACTGAAAAGCAAATAAGTGTTTACTGTTTTAAGCTACTTGGTTTTAGGATAATTTGTCATGCGTATCAATTAATATAATAACCTATCACTTCCTAGAACTAAGTTTTATTTGCAACAGGAAGTAAAAATAACTCATTTGAGCTTAGTGTTATTTGCTAACATGTTAATAAAATTTCAGGTTTTCCTTTCTAATATGCTAAGTAGTGATTCTTTTTTAATTCCCTCAAATTGTTGCATAATACTATTTCAGAGTATTCTTCACTTTCTAAGTTGATTCACAGAAACAGAAACCTAAACAGATTTTAGTCAGCAATGATATTTTTTAAAACCTTTGTTTGTTGAGCAACTATACCAGGTACTAAATGGAGAACTATACCTTTAATTCAGATTAATGTTCATAAAATTACTTATTTACGTACTGGAGGTTAAACACAGGGCTGCTTTACTACTGAGCTACATCCCTAGCCCTCTTTTTTTTTTTTTTTTTTTTTTTGAGAAATGGTCTCTCTAAACTTAGAAGGCTGGCCTTGAATTTGTGATTTTGTGATCCTCTTTCCTTAGCCTCCCAAGTAGCTGGGATTGGAAGCATCCAACTATGCCCAGCTGAAATTATTTATATATTTTAACTAAACTTGTTCCTCATGGTTCTGAAGATTATAAATCAATAGAAGGTATATAAAGCTTTTACTTTACCTCTGTGAGGGATCCACAAGGCACACCACCATGTAGGGCTTCATCCAAAGCAGAAAGGGTAGTAGATAAGAATGCTGGTGAGAGATCTGTAGACCTTTGTGTCTTTATCCCATAAGCCTGAACAACAATCAAAAAAATGATTAAATTCTTTTCAGCCTCCATATCTACTCAAAAATATAAGTCAACTCCTAACTTCTTAACTTTAGAAACTAAAACCAAATCCATCTTTTTCCCCTTTATTATTTATTTGTTCAAGTAATTACTCCATGCCAGAGACTGTGCTAGATTATGGGGATGCGATTTTACAGAGGGATTATGAATTTGGAACTAGAAATGGGCAATTGCAATACAATTATTAAGAGACAGTGTATTAGGGAAAAGGGAGACATAACAATAAAACTAATCTGGACCTTTTAATCTACAAAGGTTTCACTGAAGTGCTATATGACTGAGCTGAAATCTAATATATTTTGTTTTATTTCTCTATTAGATGAGCAAAAGAAATGTGAATGTTTCTGGCAAACAGGATGTACAAAATTCAAGCAATAAAGATTGGAAATGGAAACAAAAGAAATCTAAAAAAAAATTTTAAAAGTTCATTTAGCTGAAAGAGTGAGGCTGAGAGCAGCAAGTGATGAGGCTGGAGAAGGAACTGGACTTAACCACTAAGAGCTCTGTAGAAGTTTGGAGTTCATGCTGAGAGCAACCAGGAACATCATGACCAAGTTATCATTTCAAACTCAAGTTGTTTTGTGAAGAACAGCTAAAGGGAGGTTCCTAGGCTAAGAAATATCCATATCAAATCCCTGGAACCGGTCTGTGAATGTTACTTTATTGGAAAAAAGGCCTCTGTAAATGTGATTTACTTAAAGACTTCATGATGAGAAGATAATACTGAATGATCTGGGTAGACCCTAAATGCCATCACAAGTATCCTTATGAGAGAGGAAGAGAAAAATTCGATATATAGAGGAAAAAGCAATGTAAAGATGGACCAGACAAGGAGTAGCCACAAGCCAATAATGCCAACACTCCTTGGAGGCTGGAAGAGGCAAGGAATCGATCTTCCTAGAGCATCAGGAGAGATAGCAGCTCTGTCTGTACCTTTGGCCTCCAGAACTATGAGAGAATAACTTCCGTTTGTTTGACATCAACAGCCTAAGGTAATTTTTGTTAGAGCCACCACTAAGAAAATAATACATCAAATTATCACTTTGAAAAGATACACAGGTTGGTTTAAAAGAATAGCTTGAAGGTGGCTAATACTGGAAGTTGGAAGATCTGTCAGAAAGATAGTTGCAACCATTGGAAAGAAAAATAATGGTGGCTCAAGGAGGGTATTAGCAATGGGGATAAAAAATTGTGGGTACTAGTAAATCTATCTAAAATAAACTATACAGTATGTCTGAAGGGTTTTTTCCTTTTATATAATAAAATTCTGAAATTCTTCTTTTTTCATTTTCAAAACATCAAAAATGAGTATATTTTAAAAAGTGAGTCTATTTAACCATACTAAGTTCACAATAGAATAAATGGGTGAATAGAATAATTCATGTTATGACATGTTTAATGAACTGCAACAGAGAAAGTTGGACAAAGGGAGGCAGAGAAACTTTATCTTGTAAAAATTACAATCAGAGGCTCCATAATCATCTGGCATCTGCTCAATGTTCTATCTATAGTTAGAAATGTACATGATAGAAACTCTAGTGATTCAGATTCATCCTTTAAGGTCATGGTCAACTGTAGCCATAATGTAATACTTGTGCTGAGTTGTTCTCTGTAATAACTAGTCATCTGCATAGTCTTCTTTGTATGTGCATGGCAATGGTTCAAATTATGGATCATTAGTGAGCTTTAAAGCCATTTAATGCTTCTGCCCCCATTTCTCAATTTCAATCATTACACAATTGGTTGTACATAGGATCCACTTGACATACAGACAGTCCACCTCTGACTGCAGTAAGTCCAGTCTGGCTGTAACGGAAAAGGTGATAAGCCCCGTATCAACCTGGATATGGTATGGTGGGCCCTGCTATGTGTTTTATTGGAAGAATATGCTCTTTCCTTCAGTTCATTAGGATCTTTCTTTTCTTTCTTTTTAGGTTTTTTTTTT